GACTTCAGAGCCAGTGTAGTTAATTCTAAGATTCCTTTTGTTGGCCCTTGAAAATTTATAATAATATCAAGGCTGTAGTAGCCTTACCATATATTTCTGCTTACCTGGTGTGTGTGTGTGTGTGTGTGTGCATGAAAAAAGTAGAAAAATATGTTAATTGCAAACTACTTTGCAAATGTGGAAGAAATTACATTAGAAAGCCACTATTTTGTAACACCATTGCAGTAACTGATTCAGGTTAGTGTCAGTAGGTGTTAAGAGCATTGAATGAAAACTGTTGGGGAACTAACTGGATATTCTGAAAGCACCTCACACATCTGTACAGAGGTAGCTGTGGTGGGAAGAGGTTGCTTATTAGTTACAAAGAGAGTTCATTGAAGCAGAAGAATCTGGCTGATGATCTCCCAGACTAGCCACATGACAAAATTTACCTTAGGTAATAAAGGGAAAAGCCAACATGTGCTTCCTGATGTGTCTTAAAAGGACACAGCATCACCTGTGCAACTTTCCTTTCACAAATATTTACTTTGGAGATAAAATCTTGAGGTAACACTCAAACAAGTCCAGATTAAGGAACCTTTTCAAAATGTCTTGCTTGGGCTTATCAAAAAGGTCAATGTCAAGAACCATAAAGAGTGACAGGAGACCTGCTTTAAGTTAGAGGAGATCAATGAGCAGGCTTAGAGTACTGCCATGACCCTTTCTTATATTTTGTTTATTAAACAAATAATTCTGAAAGTTATATGTAGTTGGTTATTAGAACCAGTTAGAGATAATTGAATGCGGCCTGTATATGAAAGAACAATGTTATTTTATATTAGATTTTAGTTTCTTGAGTATGATAAATGAATTGTGTTCTTATTAAGAGATAGTGCTAAATGAGGTATTTATGGAGGGAAGCATGATGTTTGCAACATATTCAGTAGGTTCAGCAAAAATAAATAAATATAGGAAAGATAAAATGTTATTAGTTGATAAATCTATTAAGAAAAGTGTGTGAGTGTTCATTAAATACTGCAACTGTTCTTTGGGTTTAAAAATTCTCAAAATAAAAGGAGAAAGAACAGAACTGTTTACTAAAATAGCCATATTGTGATGGAAATGTAGATTCACACTAAAGACTAATAGTGGGGAAGTCTTCAAGAAAGTAGGAGAAAGTAGGACTAATAAAATAGGTTTTTATTTAACATCGCTGATGAGCTAATTCTGACTGCTGAGCAAGTTGAAATGCATGGGATTCTGAGTTTGTGTCCATAATTTATTAGCAGTGATTGTTAAAGGGCTTAAGAGTTAGAAAAAGATATTCCAATTAATTGCCCTCTCTTCTTGAATGTCTGTTATCTTTACAGTCTAATCAGTCCTTAACTCAGATAATCACTACTTGAGCTAAGCCTAGTTTTATCCAAAAGTTTGAATTTTCTCTGGCATTAGTGACTCCTCCAGAAGCTTACTAAGCAAGGATCTACACCTTTTAAAAGTCAAGGTTCCTAGGCATTTGTAAATCAGGGGTTTTAAACCTAGATCATCTTTAGCAATAAGGAATGTGAGGTTCCATGAACTTCTGAAATGAGCAGCCTGGGAGGACTCGTGTGGGGGTGGTAGAGAGTGCTTTTCTTTTATAGAGACCCCTATAAAACTTTGATCAGGTTGTCTTACAGCCTAAAATAGTTAAGAACCTGGTCTTACATTCTCCTGATCTGCTGTACTTAGTTTTCATTTTGCTTGACCAGCCAGCTTTCTTAGCCTCCCATTCTCCTTTGTACTAGGGCAGTGAGGCCACCTGAATTTGACTCCTCTTTCCAGTTCCTATAAGATTCACCTTTGCCTTCTGAAGATAGAAAGGAAGAAACATACCTGTGTGTTTCTCCTTTACTATTCTCACAGAACACATATGGCACTTCTGGTCACCAAATATGTGGGGGATTTTTCTCTACACCAAACCATTCTCAGTGACACCAGCTAGGTATCCTGTAATTTATTTTGTTTCTGACACTGTCTACCTAGTATTAACACCAGGTCCCACATATTAAGTGATCACTGTCATAGGACTATTCCTGTCCCTTCACAAGTCAATCACAAGTCCCACATTTTTACTTCTGTTTCTCACTGACTGACTATAAATTGAGGTTCCCACAACACTTCCTCAGGTTTAGGAATTTGTTTAAATGCCTTTCAGAACTAAACACTAAATTATATTTTCTGGTTAATTTTAAAGGTTACCGAGAGTCACCTCATTAGGACAAAAGACACTCCTCTGTCACCTTGGAAATTATAAGAGATACAAGAACTCTGTGTCAAGGATCAGGGTCAGAGACCAAATGTTAGAACGTAAGATGCTCCTAATGTTCTATCACTTAGGAAATTGCAAGGAGCTCAGTTCCAGAAACCAGTGGCAAAGACCAATATGTATAGTTCTATTATTTCACAGCAGATGATTTTCCTTTCTTTTAGAAAGGTGAACATCAATGGAGCATTGATCATAGTATGTGCTCAATAAATATTGTTGAATGGATGATTGAAATAATTAGCTTCTTTTCCCAAACAGCTTTCCAGTTAAAATTGAGTGGAACTCACTTAGTGTTCTTTGAATGAATGAAATTACATGGACTGCTTCCTTTGGCTACCTGAGCAGCTTTCCCTACTCCTTTCCAGGTTGAGCCATCCAGAGGGACCCTCAGAACTGATTTCTAAAACTGTACCTGGTGTGATTATAAAGCAGTGAGACTGATTGTCATGTGTAGTTTGTAGGATCCGTCTCAGTTACTTTATAGCCATACCTGGTATCTTACACCACAGATCATTCATTGCTTGTCAAACAATATTTTAGAGGCTCAACCCTAAGGTTTCTACAGGAAAATTTAAAATGGGTTAGCATTGTGTTGATTTCCTCTAACTTACTAATCAGAACTCTTACTTCGAAAAGATAATTAGATGTTAACTTTATTATTTAATTTTGCAGTTCTCTTTTTGTTTTGTTTTGTTTTTAAGATTTATTTATTTATGCATACAGAGCTGGGGTACAGGCCAGAGGTGCAGTGGTGGTGAAATGATTCACCAGACATAGAGAGGGGAGCAGAGCAGGCAGATTGACAAAGTACACTGCTGAGGGGAGCAGCAGGCGTGTCAGGAGAGGTCTGCCGCGCCATGTGGTCACCTCCGGGGCAAGCAGGGATC